TATTCTTCTAATATTTGTCCCTCTCCTACTCCTATGCTTTTTTCTCCTCTTCCTTATGCTTCTTCTTATTTTTGTTCACCTCCCTCTTTGTCGTCTGCTTGTTCTACTTCTGCTTCTGCTACTACTCCTTTTCTCGTCCTCTTACTCTGTCTTCTTCTTGTCCTCCCCCTTCTTTGTCTTTTGCTTCTCTTTCCTCTAATCCTCCCTCTTCTGCTTCCTCTCCTTCACCTTTCATCCTCACGATTATCTTTTCGCATAATGATTACATATGGTGCTGTCGACCGTTTTCTGGTCATCATTTTCCTTATATAAATTTTGTCATCTTCGTCGTCGCTATGATTGTCACTGTAATCTTTTCTACACTCATTATTAATGCCGTTGCTTCTTATTACTGTCGCCATTACTGCTACACCTCGTTCGTAACAATCTTTGAATTAACATAGATTCTCAAATTTTATACTTCATTTCGTTTGTCTTTCCAAATATCAATCAACTCTTTCTCATTTTCTCATTACATATGCATATTTCCACCTTCATCAAACCAATTTCACCTCACCTACACATATATATATATATACATGAAGTCAAGAGAATTCATAACCAATTTATTTGAACCACCTACAGCCTGCGATCAACTATAGTCATTTCTCTCTTAATCGTGCTACTGAAATCATCATCGTTTAATCTCTCTGGAATGCGCACGACAGCGATTATCAGCACAATAACATCCAAGTCAGTTTTAAAAGTGGTTCTTCTCCCAGTATTAAATGACAATTATTTAGACAAATATATGTATTCTCTCCATGGTTTTGCTTCGATGGATTTGTTTAGTGGCATATCAACATCTATTGGTTATTTAATGCTGAAATATAAACGTTTTTAATATACTTTTATGACTTGAAATAAATATATTTTGAACGCAATTGTATGCCTTCAACTCCAGATAAAATGTATTGTTGGTCAATTTCTTTAGCGGCATATCAACCTCTATTTCTTATTTAATGCTGAAATCTAAATATTTTGAATAAAATTTTATAGCTTCAACTAAATATATTTTTAACGCAATTCTATGCCTTTGTGACACCATTTAACAGGACACAAAAAGAAAAGAAAGGTAAAAGAGAAAGGAAAGAAAGGAAAAGAGAGGCGAGACCCAAGCGTGGATGATAAAAAAAACACCCACGGCCAGGGGCCTTGACAATGTTATTTTGATAAGTAGCAAATGGCGAAAAAGGTGTCATTACCATCGCAGAAAAATTCTAAGTGGATAAGGGAATCGACTATGTTCTGGCGACGAACTTGTGTTATCGGGGATAGATAACAGCCGCTTAATGCTGGCAAAACATCTAATTAGCAAACCACAGACCGACTAGCTAAGAAAAATCCAATTGAAAATGTTATTTTGATAATTGACAAAGAACAGGTGAAATACGGGTCTTTGGATAGATAAGAAAAATTAACCGTGTCGTCTGCTAAGCCGCACACGAAGTAACGGCTGACCGTTTTTTTTTTTTTGTTGACAAGGCATCTTCGGTCGTGATAACAAAACTATGTTATCAGAAATTGGCACCAAAGAATGACTGGAACAATGGAACTGTTTTTTTGAAACGACGAACGACCGTGTTGTGCTAGTCGACCACCCATTCTGATAATTAGCGAAAATCTGACTGACGAAGTCCAGATGAAGAATAGAGGTCATGACACTACTGGTCGCATTGTTCTGTTGGCGGCCAGAGAAAATGAGAGCTGCGATTAAGGAAAGAAAAGGAAAAGAAAAAGATAATTTTTTTTTTAACCAAGATAAATTTTTTTTCCTGAAACAAAGCCCGCTGGATCGCACACGCCCGGCTGGACATCATTGGCTGAGTGGTGATCACGTGACGCAAGGAGGAAAGTCGTCGCCGCCCACCTAGAGAATGGGTATGAGAGGTTGCTACGAGGAAGTGGGGAGGACAGTTGACGCCCCTCTGAAGTATGGTGAGAAGGTGGGAATAAGAGAAGACTCCCCAAAATGGAAAGAAGTGGAAAATTCCTAACCAAAAATAAAAGAAGTGGATAGGTATTTAGAATTATCGAGGAACCTCCGGCGCCGACAAACCCACACCGGTTTTGGTCGGCGTCCATATAAGCAAAGTCGCAGCGAGCAGAAATCAGTTCGGTTGAGTTGAGTTGGGGTTAGAAAGACAGGCAAACAATTGAGCTGTGAGCTCTGAGACAGCCTCGCAGAAAGCTGACTAAGATTGGCGCAGCTTCCGAACTCATCTTCAATCCAAGAAGAATTTAATTTGAAGAGCGACTTAGATCCATACCACCAAAATAGGTTTTTCGACTTTCGCCTGAAGACACACCAAGAACCAGTTTCTTAAAGAACAGACAACTTAAAGTGTTAAAACTCGCCTAACAACAAACAACGTGTCACAATCCATATAACGGGTCGGGAGATAGACGCAGTCCTATGTATCCAACAACTAGACATAAAGTTTTGTTATCCTTTTTTTGATACCTTGAACTTTTGAGTTATCATTTTATTTTCTTTTATGCATATTTGTGCGGTGTCACCCTCGGTTGAACTCGATTTGCATTACGGCCCCAACTACTGATTGATTTCGTTTGCCTAAGATCAATTCACAACGTGGGTAGGCAGACTGGAGATCAACGCAGTTACTTTGGTAACCAGACGTTGGAAGTGAGTTGGGAACGACGAGGCTGATATCGAATCTAACCAGATTCCCATCCGAATCACCAATTTGGGTGCCGCGACCGATACCAAGCCAGTTGGTCGTCACAGGACGGGACAACACGACTGACGGAAATAGGCGGACGTCACGTTTGGAGCGGCGACACCCGAACGAAGCAGCGAGGAGTGAGCGAAGGCTGTGTTTAGGGACGTCACACCTTCAACTACAAATGAAATGTATTGTTGGTCATTTTGATAGTGGCGTATCAATATCTATTTGGTATTTAATGCTGAAATCTAAATATTTTGAATAAAATTTTATGGCTTCAACTAAATATATTTTGAACGCAATTGTATGCCTTCAACTACAGATAAAATGTATTGTTGGTCATTTTGTTTAGTGTCAGTGTTTTGTTTAGTTTGTTTTGTACCAACCTCTATGTTTTGTTTAATGCTGAAATCTAAATATTTTGAATACAATGTATGGCTTTAACTAGATATATTTTGAACGCAATTGTATGCCTTCATCTACAGATAAAATGTACTGTTCGTAATTTTAATATAAATAGGTATTTTGGGTAATTTTTTACATAATAATGTATTTGAAGTTGACTATTTTCCCATAGCTGGGACCCTAACATGTGCTAACACTCTGGGTCAGGGTGGACATGGTAACACCAACAATTAAGAGGTGGTTCCACGCGCCTCAAAACTTCCTGATCAGAGGCCTTGCTGCCGGGTGTAGTTTATCGTCATAGCCAGAACGCTTGGCGCTATTTGATATTTTTTCTTAAATGTATATGTTTTGTGGGGAATTCTTAACCTTGTGACGGAGGAGTGAAAATTTTGAACCTGATCTAGATTTCTTAGTTTTTCATACATTTTAATTAACATTTTAATTGGCAACATCAGTGCGAGTTTTAAGGTTCAAAGATATTTTTTTAAAATCAGCATTTTCTCCATTGTTTTGCTTGGTTGGTCTTTGTTGTAGAGTAGTTTTCACAGTGGAGGCTTGTATTTCACTAAGTCGGTCCTAAATTAGGTTCGACGTACAAAACGTTAGGAACTTGAAATAATAGTTAATGACGCAGCAATCTAGTTGTGGGGCTCATACTTCAATGTCCTACATCGACTGACTCACACAATTCACTGAGCCCCACTGGCGACTGCTACTACTACTACTTATTATGTGTGGGAGAGTCTATTTACAATAGAATAGGTACGTTCCGGTATAACAGTCTTGTTTAAAGGCATATCAATCTCTGAAAACTAAATATTTTTAACATATTTTTATGACTTGAACTAAATATATTTTGAACGCAATTGTATGCTTCCAACTCCAGATAAAATGTACTTTTGGTAATTTTACTATAAATTGGTATTATTGGTAATGATTTATATGATAATGTATTTGTCTATATTTCTGAGATGAGGTATTACGTACATTATTTACATTATTCGGGCTATTGTCCTCATCTTTGTTGTCATATTTATCACAACGTTTCGGCCATTATACGCTCCGGCCTTCTTCAGGTGTTTGAAATGTCGAACTGAACCCTTTATTTCGCTCGCTGAGGTAGACTGTTCTAGTTCCACGTGCCATATCTAATGGATGCCAGTTATCAGTTATCTCCTGTTAATTCCCCTCTGAAAGTTCTCCACTGCCTTAACCGGGTATTGAACTCACACTCTTTGGGTCCTGTCACTGGATCTAACCAACGCCTTTATCCACTGTATGTTGTGATAAATATGGAAACAAAGATGAGGACAATAGTCCAAATAATCTAAATAGTGTACGTAATACCTCATCTCAGAAATATAGACAAATACATTATCATATAGTTCGAATAATGTAAATAGTGTAATAATGTATTGCTGGTATTTTTGCTATAAAAATGTATTTTGATACTTTCATAATGTTTTGTTTGTGATGAGACACTATTTTCTCATAGCTGGGACCCTAACAGGTGTTACCACTCCGCGTCAGGATGGACCTGGAACATCAGTAATTAAGAGGTGGTTCCACGCTCCTCAAATCTCCCGATCAGAGTTCTTGCTGCCGGATGTAGTTTATTGTCATACCAATATATATATATATAATCTCTCTCTCTCTCTCTCTCTCTCTATCTCTCTCTCTCTGGAAGATGAAACATAATGTCAGAGAGAAAAAATATGTCGACAAAAATTACTAAATGACGCTGATGATTACATTAACCCTTGAGACGAATCTATTTTCTATTCTGGCATAAGAGACATTTCCAGGAACTCTTCCACCCAAATATATTTGCTTCGTGTTTTCAATGCAGCAGATCTGAGTAACTCAATGCCCGGAACGACTCTTGTTTATTTTTCCTTAAAGGTATCTTTTAATTTTATTATGTTTTATGTGTATAGGGGGTTGCACGTGTTTGAGTAGACATCCCTCTTATTTTTGTTTCCTTCTTTTTTTTAACAATGAAATTGAATTCTACAATCCTGAGTAAAGAAAATGTGCTTGCATTATTATTATTATTATTATTATTTGTATGTTGTTGTTGTTGTTGTTGTTATTATTATTATTATTATTATTTTGTTGTTGTTATTACTATTATTATTATTGTTATTATTATTATTGTTGTTGTTGTTGTTATTGTTATTATTATTATTGTTATTATTATTATTATTATTATTATTATTATCCTCGTTCTTCTTCTTCTTCTATTCCTAGTAGGTCTCTTCCTTCCTTTTCCTCATCTTCTCCACTCTTCTCCTTTCCCCTCCTCCATTTTCTTTTTGTTCCCTTACTCATCCTCCTTTTACTTATCCTCATCCTCCTGCTTTTCCTCCTCTTTTTCTTCTCCTTCTACATTTTCTTATCGCACTCCATCCCCTCCCACCCCAGTTCTCTTCCTTATTCTTTTTTTTTTCTTCTTTTTTCCTTTCTACACTCTCCTCATCTTCCATTTGCTTCTCTTTGTCCAATTCATATTCATTCATTATCTCTTTTCCGTCTTTTCCCACTGAGCCATTTTCCTCTCCTCCTCTTCCTCCTCCTCACTCTCCTGATTTTTCTCTGACTACATCTGCTTTTCCTCAACATTTTTTTCTCCATTCTTTCCTTTATCCTCCTTTTTCTTTATATCCCGGGGATCATCAGTTTTCCTTTTGGCAAAATGATTACATATGCTGCTACCACCCGTTTTATATAACTTTTGTCATTATCACCACCGCCATGATTGTCGTTGTAACTTCTTCAACTCTGCGTATTATTAATACTGATATTCCTTGTTGCTGTCGCCATTATTCTAGCACCTCGTTTGCATCGGCCAATCTATGAATTAACATAGATCCTCAAATGTTGTACTTCATTTCGTATGCATATCGAAACAGCAATCAGTTGTCCCATTTTCCCTTTACACCCAAACACCTATCCTCACCATAGCCAGCTCCACCCATGCAATCAAAAGCACACACTTACGTCCGTATTCGAATGTGTGCGCATAGATATTTAAATTAAGGCATGCTATGACTTATTCAACAAGGTGTGAGTGCGTGTGACCCTCCCATTTCAAGAGATTGTCTCTGCTCTCATATCGTCACAATGGTGACGTGCGACGCCTCACACCTCTCTATGTCCGGGTTTGTAAGCTCGGGTCTTTCTATACTGGTTAGCACGAAAACAATGCAGAATAAAAGAACTTACATCAACGGAATATGCCAAAACTAGATTTTGAAGAATCCCTTAAAAGTTGAAGGATGCATAACTTTTTCAAAACTCACTTTCTAGTTTCCTTCAGGGTAGAGAGACTTTCATGTATTCTATAGGGATTTCCCAAGTCCACTATTCAGTCGTAAGCGTGGTGTAATGGTTGGCGATACAAGCTTGTTAATCATTACACCACGCCGAGGTGCACTAATGATTTTCTTAACGTAGCTTAGTTGTGGCATACGGCCGAGAGTGTGGGGCATCCAGTGAGGATTGAACTCACTATTCAGTCGTAATTGTTTTAGCGAGACAAGCTTGCTAACCATTACACCACGCCGAGGTGTCCTAATGAGTCCCGAAGTATGTAATATATGTAATACTAACTAGATAGACTCAAGAATATTTCACGGTTTTCCTATTTCGATTTTCTGATGAGTGGTGAGTTCTACGACAATAAAATATACGTTAAAATTCCCCTTAACTCATCATTAAATATTTGAGCCGACCAAACTTTTGTGATGTCAACGAACACTCGTTGCCACTTTTGTGATGTCAACGAAGACTCGTTATCATTTTCGGACGCCGGTGAACAATACTGGCGTTAGACGCCTTCGAATATCACTCGCGCTAATATTACTTGCTCGATAATACTCGATCGAATAGTAGCCACCGAGTAGTAATCCGTATAGAGGAATAGTATAGGGAATATAGAGAATGGCGAACTGTATAGTAGTAGAGGATAGAATAGAAATAGCGATCCCAATAGTAATAGAGGATAGACTAGAAATGGGGATCTGTGTTCAAACTCGGCAGCGACACTTTATTCCTACATAACACCTTCCCTTTGAGATGACTTCTTATATAACACAATATTGCAGCAACAATCATAAATATGAATGTTGGTCGTTATTTTAAGAAGTAAGGGGGTACAAATAAAATATCTGAAATTACATTTTTTTTTCAATTCACTGAAACAGTCGTTAAACACTTCTCTCTTCCTTTTATTCTTTCATTAATTCATTTTCACACTGAAACCTAATAGTGTATTTTCCACTCTGTCAACGCGATCAAAACGGAATAGTCCATTATTTATGAGGTATTGGTAAGAGACACTCAACATTTTTATCTCCCCTTATTTATTTCCTTCTTCTAGCCAAATCCCCGTCTTACGAACATTTCTCTTAATAATAATTTTAAAATGATTCAGCAGACGATGTTACTTTATTTCATTTATGATAAGTTCTTTTGTGATTGTTTATTCGGTTTCCGTCGTTCGATACTGTGCGTCTGAAAATTTATCATGGTCGTCAACACTTCTCGGCGTTTTGACTGAGATCGAAGTGTATTATCTGTTCTTAGCAGCTCAATCGGATTATCTTTCTCCACTCATATCTTCCTTTCTTTCTTTTATTTTCTCGCTGAAACCAAGTAATGTATTTCCCCCTCTTTCCTCGCACTCAAAAACGTACATTTTTATTAGGTATTGACAGGGCGTAACAGCGTGTGAACT